CTTAATTGTTCGCGCCAAACACTTTCAAGGATTGACGCGAGAGGGCAGTCGGCGCGGTGCATTCATACCGGTTTGACTTTCGGTCGTGCGAAAAACGCCCAAGGGCAGTCAGTCGTCTTTAAGCGGTGCTGACGTGAGCACGCGGTCAATTCTGTTAGGGAACTCGGAATAATTAGGTGCGGCCCGTAAATATACGGTCTAGGATTTTGTGACGCGCATTTCTGCTGGAGAGCTTCCCGGGACTTATTGGGTCCGACTCAGAATCTGTATAAGTGCATTCGACAATATTAGCTAGTGCGGCCTCTGACATTCTAGAACTAACTGTTGCAACGCGAAACGGTAGCGACCTTTGGTCCAGAGGCTCCGTGTGCATTTTGTGCGGTAACCTTATACCCCGCGATAGTTAGTGGCTTCTGTAAGTTAGTTAATCGCACGATAATCGACTGTCATCGTGAAGAACGAGGAAAGTGACTGTGGTCCGGCGCCGAAGCAGTCTGAAGCGGTGCAGTATTTTGGAGCAGCTTGGAACTCGGCCGCGGCTGGTCGCCTATGCTTGACAAGGCCCCACACATTCACACCTCACTGTACACTACTCGCCATCCACTATTACACACACTCACGGCCTGCCCAAGCCTTGGTGCGAAGTTAGCTTCGGATAATGGTAAGTACTATGTCTTTCTAGCGTCCTCCCATCTGGTTTATTGTAATTAGGAATTTCCACGGGGCCACATTGAGGCCCGACCTACGTCTGCTCGGGAAGTCTTCTGCTCATGGGCCCCAGAGGATTGGATCCTTTAAGGGAGCAGCCGTAAGCCGTAACACTACTTTTTATCCAATTACCGAACTTAAAAAAGAAGGTTAAGTATTTTTCTTCTTTTAGATGTTAATTTTCTATTATATATGATTATGTTAGTCAATAGGCGGGATGACGGGTGTTATTTTCAAATAAATATCACATTTGTAAATAAAGTTTAAAATCAGTTTTAACCTTTGCATAACAAATTGAAACTCCCCTGACGATATACGTTTTAATTATCAAAACAGCGCCATCTATCATCAAATGAAAAAAGCCCATATTTTGCCTTTAGTAACTAATAAATTGAATAATATAAATAACTTACATTTATAAGTTTAAATAATTAGATTTATAAAATTATTTAAAAATACTAACGCTTAATTTAATCGTTATTTCATTTTAAAAGTGTAATAATTAATAAATAGGGACATTTTTTTATAGGATCGGGTGACAAACGAGCACACAGTCCACCTGATGGTAAGTGATTACTGTGACCCATAGACATCTACATCTATCCTCAATAAAGACTCAAGATGCAGATGCGTTGTCACCCTTGAGAACTAAGATGGAATGCCTCTTTGCCAGTAAAAAGGGTCTCCGGTTCTCTACACTCATCATACGAAACACAGCAGTGTTAAGCTGCTATTTTACGCTGGTTTTCTGTGAGAGCGTGGTCCTTCCCCGGTCGAGCCGACCCATTCGTGTTACAACCATAATATAGCTGCAGCATGGCTCTACCACGTAGACATCCATCAAACGTATGAAAATTTATATTTTTTGAACTAAAAAACATATTAATTTTCATACGTTTGATACTATATCTGTATGTAAACTGAATACAGTAATGTGTACCCAAAATTGAGATTAAGAGAGAAGCTCTTTAGTTGAATATATTGGGTGTCTGTCGGCATAGGTTTCATTTTACCAACTTCATATATTATCACGTTATCGGATGTAAATAATATAAAATTAAGTGCACTGTGAGATTTTATCTCTATTTGATGAAATAGTTCGTGGCACCGATGGGTTTCTAATTACTAGGTTGATATGGTCAACAATCGTATAGAAGCTTTGTTTCAGTTTTTATGGATTTTATTTAAACAAATAAGACAGCCGTGTAGCTCGCCGTGAGATTTCAATACGTCACGGCAGCAAAACGTGTACGAGTCCTTCGAGGACCAATCAATCTGTTATGGAAAATTTTACGTGCTGGGTAAGCCACGTATCCGGTGAAGTGGTGAAGAATAACTTCGTGGGCAAACCTAAATATCTGAGTAGTTGAAAAAGTCGTTGAAGTATGAAAATTATTATAATCAAATTAGTAAGCATTGAAGGATTGCGGCATACTCTTTTCTGCCCACAAAACACTATAGGCAATGAGGAGCCCTGTGCACAGTAGCGAGACGTATGTTAGTTGCTACTTTAGTTTTTATTCCTTTAATGAGACTTATAAATCAGTTTATCATTTAAGATTTTTGTATTTTTGAGTTTTCATATTATCAGACAAATCAAGATATTTGTAACAGTCATGGTTTCATAGCTCACATAAAATATGTAAATGAACAGGCTGTTGCAAAAAGAATACTTTAAATATCAAAGATAGCAGATTTTACTTAAACATAGGTTTATTTTATTTTACTTGTCAAAGGCGGTAATCAAACTGATCCAAACGTAAATTTCATAGTACCTAAGCATTATTATTTATTTTTATATAGGTATATGTTACTAACTGTCGATTTACCACGTTCTCGGCGGTGAAATAAAACCTGCATATCTGAGAAGTTCCCCAGTTTAGGTGATCGCGTTAGCACTTTTTTTTTTGGCCAAAAGCTGTGGCCTGTGGCCATTAGTGACATGTATGTAGGCTGCTACTTGTTTAGTTTTTATATTAATATTTTTGTAGATGTTAATTTTTTGTTTTCACACTACCCTAAATATTAACGTTAGCAAAGATTCGAAAGAATAGAACTCATCATCGTTATCATTATAATCTATCAAAAGTTCACCGAACTGAACACAGACCCCCCCCCCCATAAATTGTCAAATAGGCTGGATATTTGCTATAGTTGCCACGCTTGTAAGGCAGCCTTTAATTATTTTGCACTGTTGTCAGGAAGATGATGTTGCCCATCTCCTGTTTGTTTTTCCTCTAGCGCCTCTTTGGACACACTCGGAACGATATGAGATGGCGGATCCTCTTTCAACGCCACAACAAGGCGAACATTTTTTTGCTGCCGATCATGAGTGCAGTTCTACCCACGGTCACTGCGAATAGAACTTAATTTGCACTAAAAGAAATCTTAAGGATTTTATCGTGTTCTCGGTGCGTCGGTGCTTCACGCCAGCAATACGTTCTTTTACGCAAATTTTTATGGAACTTTCTTCCAAAGATGTGTTTTGTACAACCCGCATAAATAAAAGTAAAACGTAACGGGATTTATTAAATTTACATGTGTAGTTTATATCATTATAGAACTGCATTTATGAAATTTTGAAGTCTACTCGAACGTAAAAAAAATATCAGAATATATTTTATGGTGCCAAATAAATATATTAAATGGAAACAATCATATGAATCATAAAATCACATAGCCATAAAATCATCATTATTTTGTTAAAACAAAATTAATTTTAATTATGAATGAATGTAAAGAGTAAATAATAATAATAATAAATTTTGATTCCAAGACAATTTATTTTTCTTATGGATACATCGGATAGGTCAAATATAAAAAAAATTGTAATGTTTCTAGACATATAATATTAATGCAATTCTGAAAACTTATTTATTCACGTGTTCCTGTAGCATATTATATATATATATATATATATATATATATATATATATATATATACCAACTGACATAGAGGTACAGACACCGAAATGACTCTAAAAGTGAGCGAATTTTGCTAAATTTGGCACAGAATAGCATTTAATGGTGTTCCTAAATTGAAAACCACGCGATAGAAAAAAAATACGTATTGTTTAATTGGCTGTGGTTATCCGTCTACATATTACGGTATTTAATTAAACAGACAAAACTATATTTCAATTTAGTAAATTTTAGCAAATTAGAGTAAAAGTAAAATGATGCCGCCTACTATGTTGTATCTACATCACGGAGTTTCGTGGTCTACACATTTTCTAACTTCTATAAAATATATGTTTTCATAATATATACATACTTAGGATTGTTGTCACTTGGCGAAATTACATCGCTATTTATCGTGGGATTGTTATGTATATATTTTTTAAAGAATTTGTTTTGACTTTGGGAATCGAACCCGCGAACTGCTGCCGAAGGCCATTTGCCCATTAGATTAGATTTGAAGGTATGTGTGTAATTCAATAATTGTATAAGTATGTTTTATGCAAGTTGTTTGGATTTAGTAAAAAGATGTAAAAGAAACTTGTGTTTCGTTTACTTTGATGCTATATTATTCGAGACAGCTTAGTAGCGCAGTGGCAAGTGTAAGGCTACCGCGGTGCGGGGCCATGGGTTAGATTCTTATAAGAAACATATGTTTGTATTGATTGTAATTAATTCGGGTCTGGATATTTACACGTTTGCAATTCATGTAAATAAAACGCCTCCACGACGCAGGAGAAATTATCCTATTGAGTTGGGAACGTATTAAAAAAAAGAAAACTACAATAACAGCACACACACAATTTTCTCAATTTTGATATCCCTAAGATCAGTCCCTACACAACAGATAAACGTCAAACTTATAACAGATAAACGTCAAACTTATATATATATTTATAAATAAATATAAAAATACAGGAAACATAAACATTACAAAGAAGTATTTCCTTTATTAACGAATCATGTTTTATAGTTACAGTTACACAGGTACGATAAATCTGAAGCGAAACACCACTATACTTATGGAAACTATAATTTAAAATATTTTATGTACAACAAGTAAAAAATTACTACGATCTTTATCGCTAAGATTATTTTAAATTTTTTCGTGTATTCTCTATTTCGCACTCGTTAGCACACGTACAAGTATATCTAGCCGAATATCAATTGCATTTAAAGCCTGCTGGAGTAAATTATTAGGTGTTTCTGGGTGCCACTGTTAGTTTTCTTACAATTTTAATGTTTTGTACTCGGCTAGAATTAGAGTGTGAACAATCGATTGCTATGTTCAATGAAGTTATGAAAAGAAAATATTTGTGTATACTATTTTCCGATCATCGGATTGACCTGTGGACAAACGAATATTTAGTTTCGTAGATATTATTGTATTATAAATATAAATATCACATAAATATGTAAAATAAATACAGTTTATATTCTTACCATTGTCTGAGCAACACGAAAGTGAACAAAGAAAAGACTCCCACGTTCGCCACTATTGTAAGTCGGGGCCCTGAAACATTTTATTCTTAGAATATTTTTAATTCACACCAGCAATAAAAATTAATCTAACTTTTACCTTTTTTAGTTACAATTTATTACTATTCTTATAATACGTGGCCACTCAGAAATTTTTTGTGAGCGAAACTATAAAAAGCTCTATGGTTAAAGTTTTTATTATTAGGTCCTCAAAGAACTCTCCACCATTTCTACTCGTATATAAAGTTTCATGCATCTATACCATTTTTGAAACACTTTTTCGAGTCCAGCTTAGACGTCTTTTACGACCTGCTCGAACGCTGATAGCGCCACTTACTACAGTGAAAACTTTATCCCTTTCAGCAGATATTTTTTTTATTTTAGGGAACAAATAAAAGTCACACGGTGCCAAATCAGGGCTGTTAGTAAACGAAAGCTAAGACAAAAGCTTAAGCGGTGTGTTGTCGGAGACATACCGTCCGTCGTTTTGAGTGCTAAATGCGCAGGCGCGTTGTTAAGGTAAAGCAGTAGCCTACGGAACCCCGTGTTCAATCGCTTGTTGCTCACGCATTGAGCACTTCTACCAAGCATTTGATAGTGCATCATTCGATATTAATTTTGCAAATGAATTGACACCAGATATTTCATCAAAGTGAAAAAACTTGCTATAAAATCTTCCACATAAAAAAACATAAACACTCGTGCCTGTCACCCAGAGGGTAGGCAGGGACTATGGACTTCCGATTGGCACGATCCTGACACACCTCTCTCGCTTCCTCTACATCCATATACCTACGCATACACGCTCGTCGGTTAAAGGTACTCTTAATTTAGCCCATTTTCAATATATCACCAATTTGGTCGATAAACTTTCACCTAGAGCGTCCCTTCCCGATTCTGCCGTTCACTTCTACAACATAAATTTGATTTATCACTCTTTCCTCATCCATTCTTTCTACATGACCAAACCACCGAAGCATCATCATCATTATCTTGCAAACCATACTCTTCTCTTGTCAAAAAATTTCTCACCCTGTCATTCAAATTCATCCCTAACATACTCCTTAATGACCGCATTTCTACAGCATTTATTCTACTTTCGTGCTTCTTATGCCACACCCAACGTTCACAAAGTAGGGACTAACACAGCATTGTGAATTGCCATACATGCCTTTTTGGACACATTCTGACTTCCCAAAATAAATAAAATCTTCCTTGCTTTCTTAATCGCTTTACTATTGTAGGCTTTTGTACCAAACCACCAAATGGCGTTTGTTTTTTGGATCATATTGATACATCCACGATTCATCACCCGTAATTATGTCGTCAACTCGCAGAGATGAGTCTGCTTCAAATTAAGTAATCATGTCACGCACCATTCCACGCGGGCCTGCTTCTGCGAATATGTGAGGTTGTACGGCACGTATAATAGCTTTCCGATTCAATCTATAATATGTACTGAATGTATTCATCAGTAATTCGCCTATTCAATTCAATAAATTTTTTCACTGCTAGCACGTTTCCTATCGTAACAGCTGTCGAAGGGTGACCACTTTTTTCTTCATCTCTCTAATTTAGTCGACCGTGGAAAAATTTATTTTACCAGAGGTACGCGGTTACCTTAGATGGGCTTTTATTTATAAATGTCTTATGAAGTCTATCAAAAGACTCATCCGGTCTTGGACAAAGCATCCGGCTCTAGACGACATTTTAACTCGAGAAAAGTCTTTGCGCAAAAATGTTGTTGAAACAAGATAATTATATCAACTTAGCGCGTAAAAATGTGGTGAGAGTTTTGAAATCAGAACATCCATATTTTTAAAATGCTTAAGAGTGATATTTTCAAAATAAATTATATCTGGACATTTTCTCATAAAAAACCTTTCTCGCAAAACTTTCTGTGTGGCCTGTCGTTTATTTCTCAAGTATTTATCTAAATTTATTAGAATTCATAAGTTTCAAGTTATAAGGTTTTTACAACATTTGTGTCTGTGTGCAAGGAAGGAAAAATGCTGAGACAATTTTATCGTCACAGAATTTTAGAATTGTTGTGTGTATTATTTGAATTTTTATCAACTAACCTCCAGAACTGGAGTCACGGCTTCCCATTACAGGCGCAATTTGAGGTCTTTCTTCGTCCAAAAGCAGTACTCCACTTGCAGACCAAACAGATAGTATACGTGCTACGCACGTAACGTTCAATCGACCCTGTATAAGTGAACAGTTCAAATTATTAATTTAAAAACGTCGATTGTTGAGAACAAGTTAATAGAAGCTTTACAGAACTGTCACTTTAACATTAAACATTATACTTCTTTGAAATTTAAAATTTTATTATTAATTACTTTTAAACGTCACTGTCGCGCACCTTTTGTTTTTATTACAAAATTAATTATCAAAACGACTATGAATGAATTTTCAAACTTAGTAGGAGAATCCATAATACACGTTCCCATTTATTTGAGCCTGCTAAAATTTTGTAATATTGACAATTTTAATGTAGTTTTTTTATAGGTGCAGGTGAAAAGACTACTGTTCTATCTAAATCCGAGTCCTTCTGGGTAACTACCACTTTCCTACCTATGTCTGTCACCAAGCAGCTGGCACTGCTGTATTGCAATCTGAAGGTATAGACAGCCAGTATAATATCAGCCTGTGAGGCATCTCATCTTGGTTCTTAGAGGTGACAACGCATCAGTAGCCTTCGTTTTTTTTAAATTGTTTACAGGTTACTACTATCAGGTATATATGTTTACTATACATCAGCTAGACTGCAAGTTCTTTACTTCATCATTACAGCCCTTCACAAGTACACTGCTGAACATAGGCCTCCCCCAAGGAAAGCCACAAAGCACGATCCTGAGCCACCTGCATCCATCGACTTCCTGCATATCTTACCAGGTCGTCACTCCATCTAGTGGGGGGACGCCCTACACTTCGTCCGCTGATACGAGGCCGCCACTCGAGAACCTTTTTTCCCCAACGGTCATCGGTTCTTCGAGCGATATGGCCGGTCCATTGCCACTTCAGCTTACTAATCCGTTGGACTATGTCGGTCACTCTGGTTCTACTGCGGATATCCTCATTTCTAAGTTTATCACGCAGAGATACTCCGAGCATAGCCCTCTTCATAGCTCGCTGAACAACTTTGAGCATCCTCATACGGCCAGCAGTGAAGGACCACGTCTCAGTACCATAGGTCATCACTGGCAACAGGCACTGGTTGTATAGTCTTGTTTTCAAGTTTTGAGGTATACCTGATGAGAAAATGTGCCGTAATTTCCCGAACGCTGCCCAACCGAGTTGAATCCGTCGATTGACCTCTCGATCGAAGTTGGACTTACCTAGTCGGACTATTTGCCCCAGGTACATACTCGTCAACAACTTCAAGCTTAGTGCTCCCAACAACTACCTGCATAGGTGTGACATGGACATTAAACAAGATCTTTGTTTTGTGCATGTTCATCTTAAGACCAATCCGTTGGAAAACACTATTGAGGTCATTGAGCATAGTGCTTAGGTCCTCCAGTGATTCTGCCATAAGGACTATATCGTTGGCAAATCGAAGGATAGTGATGTACTCGCCATTGATGTTAATACCGTATGTGGAGAGGTCCAGTCCAGAAGTTTGAAAACGTCTTCCAATGCAGCGGTGAAGAGTTTCGGGGATATCACGTCACCCTGTCTTACAACTCTCTGCAATTGGATAGGTTTCGTACTCTGGTTCTGTACTCGGATAGCCATCGAAGCCCTACTCTATAAGCACTTCAGCACTTAGATATAACAACAGTCCACTTGATATCGCTGAAGGGACTGCAGCACCGCCCAAATTTCGACGGAATCAAAGGCTTTTTATGAAAAAGTCCACATACGCCAGACATTGTGGAAAATTGTACTCCTCGGAGTTCTGTACAATTTGCCGAAGGGTATGTATGTGGTCTATGGTGCTAAAGCCTTTTCGGAAACTGGCTTGTTCGGGGGGCTAGAAGTCGTCAAGTCTGCGCGTGAGACGATTCGTAATGACTCTCGAAAACAGCACGTAGACGCGGCTCAGAAGGGAAATCGGTCTGTAGTTTATCAAGAGATCGTTGTCAGCTTTCTTGAAGAATAATACCACCGTACTTCTGCTCCACGCCCCCGGTGTAGTGCTACCATGGAGAACGGAATTAAAGAGCTTCTGAAGGACTTCAAGTACCGGTTTTCCACCCGCTTTCAGAAGCTCCGCTGTAATTCCATCCTCGCTTGGGGCCTTGCCCTTTTTAAGGTGCTGGAGAGCCATTCTAATCTCGCTCAGACTGACGTCCGGGATATCTTCGGAATAGTGTCGGATAAGACTCGCTCTTGGATCGTTACTCACACTTACGTGTGGCTCCAACGACGATGTGTACATCTGCCCATAGAACCTCTCAATCTCACTCAAAAACTCAGTTGTCCCGGAATTGACGCTGCCACACTCGGTCTTCAGCTTCGACAGTTGGCTCTTTCTGGCAGACAGATCTCTAGCAAAGACTTTGGAGCCCTGGTTCCGCTCTATCGCTTCTTTAATACGAGCAGTATTTAAGTTGCGTAAGTCCCGCCGCATGCATTTAGAGATCTGTCTGTTCAGTTGCCTGTATGCTGTCAAATCTACTGAAGACTGCTGCTTCATATCCCGTCTAACAGCCATGAGATTAAGAGTGTGTTCGGAGAGTTTTTGTATTCTTCTGCGGCGGGTCTTGCAAAACTTAGCTCCAACCGCATGGACAGTTTCCACGAGTTTGTCATTCATAATATAGTCCACTGCATTGCAATCTTCTAGGCTCTGAAAACGGTTTTGTAGCCCGAGCTGAAAGGTTTCGGGATTTTGGATTAGAGCACGAAGGGGACGGAGCGTTGACTTCATTAGACGTTACCTCTCCAACTTAACGTTTAGGTTCAGTGTGCCTCTGACCATTCGGTGATCGCTGTCGGTTTTATTCTCGCAATCACTGAGACATCACTGAACAGTTGTCGTCTGGTCGTCATAATGAAGTCAATCTCATTTTTTGTCGAACCGTCGGAGCTCGACCAGGTCCACTTCCTATGGGGCCGCTTCTGGAAGAAAGTGTTTATCATAAAGAGTCCCTTTTACTCCAAGAAGTCGGCCAGCTGCTAGCCCCTTGAGTTCCGTTGCCCTATTCCGAAATTCCCTTTCAGCTCACCGTTCTCTCTTGTGCCTAGTTTTGCATTGAAGCCTACCATTAACTCCGTATTGTTTTGTGTGTGTGTGTGTGTGTGTGTATTTGTGTATTGGGTTTTGGAGGAATGCATGGCTCTAGAGATATCCTCATACATTTTCTCCACCTCCTCATCAGGGTGTGCCGAGCTTGGTGCGTAAACCTGTATGACCTTCAGCGAATACCGTTTGGTGATTCTGAGTATAAGGTACGCAACCCTTGTCGACACACTCCCAATCTTTACAACGTTGTTAACGAGAGACTTGTGGACGGTAAATCCGACACCTCCTTGGGATAGATGGTCGCCCTCTCGGTGATAGAACAAATTGCCGGATTCGAAGATTACCGTGTCCTCCCCCTCTCTTCGGACTTCAGATAATCCTCTGACATTCCAGCGCAACTTGTCTTTCTCTTCTTCCAGCTCCACGATCTTCTCGACTGCCTCAGGGTGCGTGCGTTATAAGTTGCCAGGTCGAGTCGTTATAGGTGGCAACCGAGCCTCTACCGGAGATTCTTAGCACCCCCTGCCCCACCGTTACCATGGTCGCCACCGTAGCCAGGAATAGCGGGGTCGCCGAGGACAGGGAGCCGTCTCTTCGATACTTTCATGGGGGAAATATTGCCATAGTTGCCACGCTTGGCGAGCGGGTTGGCAACCGCAGTTTTTTTTTATTGTTGTTTTGTTGTTATCAGAAAAATGCTGCTGCCCATCCTCTGCCTCAGTTTCCCTCTGTCTCCTTTTACGACACCCACAGGAAGATATGGGGTAGTGAGTATTTTTACCCGCCACTACACGGGGGTTCGTTAGTTACTTTAGTTTTATAGAAAAGAACACAATATCTACAAGTTTAGGTATTATTACGAAAATACAAATTTAATATAATATTCAATGCTACTGATAATTAATAATGTCATATTATTATAACTGTGTGCGTTTTATAATATTTAAGCAAACTTCAACCTTAATGCTGCGTGTTAAAACTTATAACTTATCACAAACAAGGAAGTTTCTTATATCTATGAGAATCTAAAATAATTTTATAATTACCTTTTGGAAATGAGAATGTTGTACTCTTACTACAAGTTGGCTAAATGAAGATGTTTTGTTATATTTATCTTCCTCATTACTAATATTAAATTTGCTTGTTGTTTCATCGTATCTAGAGCCCAGGTTCGTCGTGGTCTCGTTTTTGATTTTATCGTTGATTTCAACATGGCGAGAACCTTGTGTATCTCTAATATTGCCTGGAATGTCTATGACATTGTCAGTTACGGCTTCTTCATATCGAGATATTGTGTCCCACGGACTGAATATAATTCTGTTTGCATCTTCAAGTGAGGCATCACTTATCGTAGGTTTTCTTCTCTCGTAATATGAGTCAATGACTGGAATATTGAGTCCTTTTACCTTTTAATATAAAAAAATAATAAATTTATTATAAGCTATTTAAATAACGTATTACATAAAGAGGAACTTTTTGAAATATTATGCTGATAGATAATAGCCCCTCAATGAACAAACATCTGCATTGGTTTACTTTTATTATTTTCAACAGCATTACAGCATCATAACAAATGAAATGTTAATTTGAAAAATGAAAGGAATATGTATTTTCAATAAGCAGTACGTTAAATATAAATAATGCTTGATAAAAAATATTTTATTCTGAATTATGTATCAGTAGATACTGATATCTCTACAATCCAACTGCACAAACCATGTTAATGCAAGGTACCTCATAGCCATTGACGAGCCAGGTAAGATTGGCCGGTGGATCAGCTGGAGGTGAAGTACAATTAGCTCGTAGCATATCTCCAACCGAATACCAGCTTTTTTGTGCTCGTACTTTCGGTTCTGATAGGGGTAGATCTAGTGAATACAAAAAGATAGCATTATTAGTACTAAATTTAAAATAATTCCAAATAAAATAAATACAAAGTCAGATGAATTTATGCAGATAATTAAAAAAATATGACGTGACAAAAATTTACGAGGATTATGTTAACGAAATATTCGTTCATATGTCAACAAACTTCAAATGCATTTTTTATTCTAAACTAGCTGTGCCCGGAACACGTTTCAATGCTTTTTGTCAAAAATATTGGTGGGCGTGCACACAACTTATTAAATTTTTTCGTAATCGGATGAATGGTATATGAATATAAAATAAAACGAACAAACACACAAATATTCATTTCTCTGGTCATTAACCAACACAGTTTAAGGTATTTTCGAAATATGTTTAATGCTAAGTGATATATACGAGTGGTGGTGGGTACATAATTTTTTCGTACTAAACTTAATTGTATACGTTATGTTTTTATTTATATCAACGTATGATAATGTAACAAGGTTGTTAATGCAATCAAAATGTGAATAATTTACATTTTGTTGACCGACAGTTAATTAGCACTCGCATTGTTCAATTTTACCCGTTAATGTATTTAATGTATAAATTTTGCTATAGGTTAGCGTAATCTCTATATATAAAATCAATTGCTGTTCGTTGCGCTCAATTTACACTGCCGTGGAACGGAATGGAAGCGAATTTTTGTAAAGAAATTGTACATAGTAAAATGAATTTTATGTTAATTGTGTAACGTGCAAACTAGACATGAGTCAAAAAAGTCGCGCGTCTTCAGTGGAATTCTCGCGCATTCTCGAGAATCGTCGTAGCTACTGTCGGCGCAGTCCGCGGGAAGTGGCGTGAAGGGTGAAGTTTTCATTTTTTCCATAAGTCATGAACCTAAATATTTATTTTCCTTTTTCTGATATTCTTCCTATTCTCATCATTTTCTTCTGCCTCACAAATAAGCAATATGAAACTAATCTCCAATCAAGCATTCTTGTTAAATAAAAGATCTAGACTAAATAACTGAACGGTGCATATAGCATTAAGGCGCAGTCGTGGGAACGCTCGGTCATTCCAGCGAATTCGCCCGCCTTTGGAAATGACGCAGGAGAAATTGACGCTTCCGTTCCATTCCATTCCGCCGCAATGTAAATTGAGCCCAAAAACTCGATAATGGTTTGACCGATTTTGATTAATTTTTTTGTGTGTATTTGAGTGAGTCCCTGGCTGACTTAAAAACTCAAGTGGACCCGGTAAGCGCTGTTTTCGAGATCCAGAAAGTATCCGTACAAAGCCGGGGTGGATCGCTAGTATGTTTTATAACCGCAAAAATTAATCCTTATTACACAATAAAAGGCTACATAGGTACTATACCATATATTTCTGCAAGTGCCTTTCTCAACTTTTGTATAGAATAAGGGTGACAAACGAGCAAACAGTCCACCTCATGGTAAGTGGATGCTGTGGCCCATATATACTACATTACATATATTTTTATACGATATAGAAGCGTGCTATATTAATAGTATAGTTGTAGCACGAATGGGTTGGCTCGACCGGGGAAGAACCACTCTCTCACAGAATACCAACGTATAATAGCAGCTTAATGCTACTGTGTTTCGTATGGTGAGTGTAGAGAACCGGAGACCTTTTTACTGGAAAAGAGGCGTTCTGTTTTAGTCCCTATAGCTGATAACGCATTCGCATTCTAATTCGCAAACGAAGATAGATGTAGATGTCCATGGGCTACAGCAAACACTTACCATCAGGTGGACTGTGTGCTCGTTTATCACCCTTATTCTATAAAAAAAATCAACTATATAATACCTACATCTATAATCGATGATCATGCGAAAGAAACTTTGATATGACTTTTTGTAAATAAAATCAAACTTTGTCTACATGCGTTTCCATACTTAAAAGGATTGTAAACGTTGCATATTCATATTTCATCCATGCTCATTCCAGTTTAGTACAGAATTTCGTAAAGGGGATTTATTTCCAAACAGAGAGAATTGCGAGCCGAAGTAAAACCCGACGAGCTTTGTTTGCCTGTAGTGCCCTCTATATTCGTGAAACATTGCAACTTAACGTCAAGAAAACTTTGTAAGTGTTTACATTTCTGTGCTGTCGCTTTTTGGAAATTCTGCTTAATGAAAAACGGGGCTCTTGCTAGCGGCTCTATTATGAGTATTCTACATTTCGGACATGTCTCATAGTCACTTTTTATGACAAAGACAGAAAGAAATAGGGTAGTGGAATCATTATGATCACATAAATGTATATTTTGAACCCCCTACGAAAACAATGGGGTATTATAAGTTTAACATTTGTATCTGTGTCTGTATGTGGCATCGCAGCGTCCAAACGGACAAACCGATTTTGATTTTGTAGTTTATGGTTGGAAGGTGACTTGATGAAGAGTGTATCTAGCTATGAATCAAGAAAATCTGTTCAACCGTTTGAAGATCATCAGCTCTTTTCTTTCGGGTGTTTTTAAGATTTTTAATTTAAATTATACTGCGAAAAAATGTCCGCAGCGCTATCCCAGTGGGTGTTGGTGGACGTAATATGTTTTTGAAATATTTATCTCTCAGGCATGCAGGTTTCCTCACGAAGTTTTCAATCCCCGCCGAGCACGTGGTAAATCACCATTTAATGCAATTAATAATTTTATTTGTGTCGGCGGTGGTCGAATCTGGGCTGCTAGAGCTATTGCGACTGCTTTTGCGCTAATAACTTTCTCATAATTGAGAAAGGATATTTGTCCGATAGTGGGACGTATTTTAATTATAGAAGGCTATACCTTGTAGTGGCGGCGTCAGAAAATTCTATGGGGTAGTGAACATCTCGTGGATATGGTAAGAGGCAACAGAAGACTAAAACTAGAGATGGATTTCTGGTAATAATTTAAAAAAATAAAAAACTGCAGTCATCAAGCCCCCTTCCAAACGTAGTTACTATAGCAGATAAGCCTATTTACAGCAGTATTCATTTCATATATTTTAAGGTACAATAAACAGTAAAATTATTTACTAATAAAATAACTTTTGCCTACATAATATTATACATATTTAGCTTTAAAAATCATACACCATTGTTATAAACTTGGTTTAGTGAAACATAAGGTGTTTTTCTGTAACGCTTCATCTTTGTCAAAACTTTATAACACATAAGTTAGAATGCCCAAAGGCATGATCTGCCCGTCATTTCCTTTTTAGATAAAAGGAATGCAATTAAGAACAAAAAACTAAATAATGATGGTAAGTAATAAGGATTGAATAAGTTCTTTCATTTGTACTAACGATACGTCCCAGCTTCGCACGGTTTATTTTTGGATCCCGACAACAACGCTACCCACTGGGTCCAGTTGTGAATCTGAACCATTTTCTAATCAACTTATCGGTCCAGCTCGTATAGGAGGAGTTCAGTCAGATCCACATGGACAAAAGAATTATATAATATTAATATGCACATTTTATACATATATACCTTCTCTTAAATCATTATCTATTGATTAAAATCGCATCAAAATCCGTTGCATAGTTTAAAAGATCTAAGCGTACAGACTGTGGGAAGCGACTTTGTTTTATACTATGAAGTTAATTTTAGAAAAAAACTACGGTAGAAAAAAGTATTTGAGCAATCACTTTAATTTGAATCCAACCCGATGACGTGCTTAGTAGCAAATTAAATCATTGTTAGGTAATGCATGTCGAAGATGTGAAAATATTTAAAGGAGACTAGTACAGGGTGGTAGACTATTTATTTCTTCATCAACTCTACAGAAGTAAGAGAAGCCTTTATTTTTAATCACCTCTTAAGATAGAAGTATAATAATTATTTCTCTTTTTAATAGAATATAGGTGATAAAGGAGCACATAGTCCGGTTGATAGTACGTGGATGCTATGGCCCAAAGACATCTATATCTATTATCGCTTAAGAATAAAAATGCGGATTCGTTGTCGTCCGGGACTAAGATGGAAAATCTCTTTACCATTAAAAAGGTTCACCATTTCCCTACATTCTATTACGGTACGACTTTCCATTGACGTCAGTGGAGTTTAGTGTTGATACGTATTTTTACAGAAAGATTATATTATTATAAGCACACACACAAAGTCTCAATATACGGAAACGCGTAATTTTTGAGAAAAGAATAATTGAAAATCAATTATTCTTGCAATGTTTATGTTTAATCTGCTAATAAACTGGCGCCATTTTGTAATGTCATTGTCGACGTCAATAGGGATGTCGATTCTTTCCGAAAAAGATCAATTTTTTAAATAGATTCGAATTGTAAGCTGATGTATCGATTCCCAAAAAATCGATTTCTAAAATATCGATATTATTTTCATGTTTGCATTTATAATGTAAATATAAATCCATTTTATGAGAAAAAAATCCCCTTCATCATAAAAAAATAAGGGGACTGATTCATAAGGATTTCTGTATCTATTTTGAGACTGCTACGTCTTCGGCGCTGCGGGAAGAGCAACCTCTACGCCTTAGCGTAACAAATCGCAGGCATCCCTCCTCGCCTCCGCAGCTCCGGCTTGTTGGTCGCCTTCGGCGACCAGCCTCAGCCGCTCTGGCTCGTCCGATGCCTACGATTTGTTACAGCAGGCGGAGGCTGCTCCCCCTACGCGCCTCCGGCTCTATAAAACCACTCTAGGGGTAGGACAGACTCGTACCAGGTGGAGTCGGGGTCAATCAATTCGGTTCTTTGACATAAGTTGAACCTAACCTATTTTATTTGTTATCTGCCCTAATAGGTACTGTTAAATAAAACAAATTTCAATAAGAGATCATTTATCATGGTATCTTTCTTGTTTTTCATAAAATGGGTTTATATTTACATTATAAATAGAAACATTAAAAAAATATAGATATTTTAGAAATCGATTTTTTGTGAATCGATACATCAGCTTACGATTTGAATCGATTTAAAAATCGACCTTTTTCGGAAAGCATCGACATCCCTATTGACGTCGACAATGACATTACAAAATGGCGCCAGTTTATTAGCAGATTAGATATAAACATTGCAAGAATAATTGATTTTCAATTATTCTTTTCTCAAAAATTACGCGTTTCCGTATATTGAGACTTTGTGTGTGTGCTTATAATAGTGTAATCTTTCTGTAAAAATACGTATCAACACCAAACTCTACTGACGTCAATGGAAAGCTAAGCCTCTATTACATCTACTATAAAACACAGCAGCATTAAACGATATTTCAAATAAATAAATAAAATGTAAAAAAAAAGTAATTTAAATTGCAATCAGCATCGCATAATACCGAATCAAAACCGTAACTTAACCAACAGAAATTCTAATCCAACATCGCTCTATACCCGTATTTATTGCTAACCAATAGTTCTGATTTACGATTAGGGTTGAACAAAGGCCCGATGGTACCGTTCATATTATTTATACGTATACGCGAATAGAGAAACTTTGTACGAAACATTTAATTTACTGTAGAAACTGTTCGTTTCCACCGTAATCTTAATTTCCCTTCAGGAAGGTTACTTGATACGAAACTGGTGATTTATTTAGCTCGTAATTCGTCCAGCCCACAACTCCGTGTTATAGTGAACAAAATACCCAGGCAGGCAACACAGTTCAAAGGCTCTAATCCTTAACCGAAACCAACATAAATACTAAAACAAAATCTGATAGTTTGGTTGCAAATCCCAAATTTGGATTTTTGTGGTTGCCAATCTCGGAATATCGTGAGTTTAAATCTGTTATTCGACTACTGTGGCGAATCACTGCTAACATAAGCATTTTAAGCTTTCTTAGAGTTTATAACGGTGTATTAGTAATGATATTTGGTACTAGTGTTTTCTTTAAATATCGCTTTGTGCTCACAAATAATACGCTTAATAAAATTCCACTGTTCGTGTTATCGCGTAACACAATCAAGAAAACCCTCCCGCGTCGAGATACAGAAAAACTGCAAGGAAAATCTACTTGCCCACAAGGTATACGGTTCTACATAGTATACGACGCCCAACTTAACCCCGAATTTCCTTCGCAAACGTTCCACACAAACCACTTCATCCGTATTTATCTCCGATCTTACACCGACTACAAGGTAATCTAAAATTTCAGTAAGTTTTTGTTTTTTTGTTTATTTACGTGTAAAATTTCAATATAATAAGTAAAGCGAATTGAGTACTTGACAATTTAATATAATAACAATAATTTATTTATTACGGACAAGAATTATTACAATAGTCAGAAGTTGTACGCGACCACGCCTTCAATTCAATGAGAACATCATTATTCATTAGGTAACATTTTTAGAGAACGTATACGAAAAATCTTTACGGCGCTAAGTAGTTTTATATGTAATGCTTTCAACATGAAATATTTCGATACCATCCTACCCTATCTCATTCCGTGGGTCGTAAGTGGCGAGAGGTGAATGCCCGAAAGATCTTGTGGCTTTTGTTACATGGCAGAATGACCATCTTGTGTATAATGCCAAAAGTAAATACACAGACCAGCATGGCCTCTAGGATCCGTGTAAGAGGTTCATGCGTTATTTGAATATAAAGGTATATAATATATATACATCGTAGCGTTTTCACGTCAACAACACCCACGGAACGATATGGGATAATTGGTATTCCTACACCACCACCAAATGGTCGCGGTGTATTCATTATTCTAATTAATTTATGTAATATTAATGCGTAGTTTAAACAAACCGATTACACGCATGAATGCGCTTTTGTAGACCGTGTGGAAGAACGGTGCGTCGGCAGACACCTCGCATCGATACCGACCGCTAAGTCCCCTCGTCGCTTCTCGAAGCACCACTTGTTGTGCACCAGATCGAGAAACCTAAGAAAAGATTTAATATATTTTTAATTATATAACCAATGAAATGAGTTTTATCGCCTGATTATTTTATTTATAATATATTTTACTATGGTATTTTAAAAGAAGATTTAATATATAAGCAGCATAATATATCTGTAGGTAGATAGAGGCTGGGCTCAGACTTAAATTTTATTTTACGCTAGCAACCCAATATCGATGCCCGCTGGCAACTTGGAAATTGTTAATTGCATACTTAAGATTTACTACGTTATCAGTAATTAATAAAATTGTGAGTAATATCTGAGAAACCAACAAATATTTCGAAGACGTCGGTATCTATCAACAAGCATTGGGGCGGTGCGGTGGACTTCGCTGATTTAAAACTCTCTCAAAATATTTTCCTGTTCCCAGTAGTGCAACAAAGGTTAGTACGATAGGTAAGTTAGCTACTTTATTTACGTTCATAGAAACCAATTACGTTACAATGAAACTTTGATATGATTAATGTTAACTTTTCGTGTAACAGTTGGAATAAGAGAAATTGAATTCAAAACTTTTATTCAACTAGTTAGTTAGAAAGTTCAATTACTGCTGGATGGATTAAGCGTGGTCATTCTGATTGAGTGATGTCTGTGAATTAAGCTAATTATGGAACTTGTATCGATTGGTCAATCGTATAAAAAGCTTGCCACAATGTATTTACATATACTTAAAAAAATAGTTTACTTATTGATAGAGCCGTGACTATCCATGGCCAACGAACCTTTTTACTGGAAAAGAGGCATTCCATCTTAGTCCTCACGGAGGACAACGCATCTGCCTTTTGATTCCTTATAGAGGATAGATGTAGATGTCTATGGGCCACAGCAACCACTTACCATCACGTGGACTGTGTGTGCTCGCTTGTCACCCTATCCTATAAAAAAAACGAAATTATCATCTAAAGTTCTATCTAATATTATCTAGAAATATCATAAAATGAGCAACATCACGATCTGCCGGGACACATCATAATCCCATGTTTATACTTTTATGGATTATATGACATCGATAGTATGTTTCCTCTTAATGTGTTTAATTTTTTTAATCCAAAAGAATAAGTTGATATTTATTATCTAGTACATACAGGTATTATTTAGCAAAAGTTCGTCAATAGTCCTGAAGCGACAATAGTCTAATGGTAGGGTACAGATTGCTAACTCAGAAAGTAGCTTTGAATCCGCTATTCGACTACTGTGGTGAGCTAATCCTAACACTATCATTTTTAACACTAGCTTGCTTGGAGTGAAGGGGTATATTAGTATTGTTAATAGTGTTACTATTTCACAAAAATATTTATCATAATAATTATTTTAAATGTTTTTATCTTCTGCTTTGTTGTCAGCCAGCAAAAATCGAGTTACGTAGTACTGCTCGTTTCGAGACGACTATATCCAGTAGAGCACGAACACTGATGATGGTTATTTTGTTAAAAACGGTATTTTGTAATCTGTTAGATACTCATTTAGTTTTTAGTGTTATTGTTTTTTGGTTAAGTTAAAACCATAAAAGCATCACCATTACGTCCCTTCACAAGCCCACTGCTGAACATAGTCCTCCCCCAGGTTATGCCAGAAAACTCGATCTTAAAAGCCATCTGCACCCACCATCTCCCTGCAGGTTGTCACTCCATCTAGTGGGAGGGTTGCCCTATATTTTGCTTATCAGTACGCGGCTGCCACTCGACAAACTTTTTGCTTCTATGTTATAGGTAATGTTATTTTTAGGAGTAAATTAAAAAATGTTAAAATATAGAATATATTGAAAATACTACTTACATCTACATTAATGCCAGTTTGTGAAAAGACCCTTGTGTTAGGCAATTCCTTTGGCACAAACCGAAAAAATTCTTGGGCACCATGGTACCATTTAACAGTATATAGAGCTTCTCCAGTGTCCAAAGCCCAGCGACACCCTAATATTGCATTGGAACCAACGCCAACGGCTTCCGGGACTGTAATATGAATTTCTCGAAGTCCAAACACATCTGTAATAAAAAAGTTGTTTTATTTTTATTCCGTAAGCATTTTCTTATACAAGTAACGCGACAAGGAGAAGACGAATACGCAGTTCACCATGTTCAGCGTTAGCAGCACCAGTCCAATGTTAAGTGAATGCTGTTTCCAATGAGACGGTTACCGTCGATTAAGAATCAAAATGCAGATGCGCTGTCAACACTTAGAACGAAGATGAAATGGCTTGTTAAAAATTACTAATAATACCCGTTATACGATTATTCAAGAACTTCATCACAGCTTCAGCTAATTTTCTAAAATAATAATTTTTGAAAATTTAAGCGAGACTGGTCGCTTAGGAAATTTAAATTGTTATAGATCCTTCATTCAAAATGAAAAACCTAATAACTTAATCAATGATAACCCACTACGATGATAGTTTGTCGACTTTCATTTTTTTCGTTTAAGCATTAAGACGTCTGGTTGTTGCCATATTGAATTTCTATTATTGTCATATCTTTAGCGACACTCACAAGATTAAGATAAATCGATTGACGTAAGAATAATCAAAGTCAACCCACGGGTTTAGTCTCTAGAGCACCACAAGGGAACAAACATACATACATACATACATTATTATGTATAGGCTGATAAATACATTACCTAAATACCTTCATAAATACCTTCGCGGTCGTGTAAAAAGGGTCTCCGTTTCTCGTCACTTAATATACGAAACTCTGTAGCATTATGCTGCTATTTTACGCTGTTATTCTGTGCGAGAGTTTGTACTGCAGTCTTAATACGCTGTGAAATGGCTCCACCTATTTTTATTAATTATAAATAAGAAGAATCACACAAATTATAACACTAATATTAGGGAGTATAAATTTATCATTTCCCATAAGGGTTAAGGTAGTAAAATTGTAAATTGTAGAGATTACTGGTAGTTTACACTTGAAGTTATGACAAGTATATTAACCTAAGACAAATTGTTCAACTAGGTAAAACTAATTTCAACAATAGTCAATCGATGGCTCCTACTCAGCTTGGGAGCTGTTTGGGAGATTACGACACATCTTCTCGTCACCCTCAAAACACGAAAACGAGAGTTCATAACATATAGATTTGAGTCGTAATCCTTTACTGCTGCTCGTATAGGAAAGTTTAAGGTCGCTCCGTGAGCTTCGCGGGGAGCTATGCTCGTAGTTTCTCTGCGTGATAGAATTTGTAATGAAGATTTTCAAAGCAGAATTAGAGTAATATAAATATAAAGCAGTTCCGTTAACAATGCTTTAAAAGGAGAATCTTTAAAAATCCAATATTATCTAAATTGTGTCTACGGTTAGTGATCTTTTTCTCTACAAAATAATTTTATATACGTAATTATATATACCTGTACATAAGAGTTCACATAGGCATAATTTAACACAAAATTAGCAAATTTAAAACTCCTTTTTACCTTTATGTCGATCCTTTAAAAGTTCTCTGAACAAAAATTCGGCTCTAAATCGGTAATCAGTTATACGAAAGGTTGTCGGTATACATAAATCAAGTGAACAGTACGTGATCGTATTGAAGATCAAGGTAGTACGCGGGTACAGAATCAATGCTGACAAGAACTCATTACTTTGTAACCAAATTCAATTTACAATTTCAGCCTTATCAAAATATTACATATCGAACACAATTTGATTTTCGTATAATAAATTCAAGTTTTTTGTTCAAAGAATATTTCTAATTAAAATTATTTATTATTCACCTACATAAATAACTTTTAATAATTTTTGATATCTCTGTCTATTTAGTGTTTACTAAGTAGTAGTAGTTTACCAAGTAGTTATGATAGATAGTAGTTGTAATGATAAAAGTAGCACTGTTGTCATAACAACGCAATTTCAAATATTATAGAAATTATATTATATATATTTAAATTTATATTATAATTATATATATTTAAAGTTATAATAAAACCAAATATTGAAACATGTTTAATTTATGTATGATAAAGATATATAATTTACTTATGTATGTACATATTAGATTACCTTAGTTTCAGTGTTGCCAATTCGAAAAGGTAGCTTACGGTGTTTTAGCTCAAAAATTAAATATGTTCAAAGAAAATATGGTTACGTGCCCTCAGGTTATTCAGTTTAATAACGGCATATGTAAACGATACAGTAGTTATTTAAAATGATTTAAGATTTTTTTACAAAAAAAGTAAATTTTGTACAACCTTCAATATAAACTATTAAGAATAACTCAAAAACTATTGGTCATACCTTGATCAAATTTACATAAAACCACATGAGAAGCACCAGCTTTCAAATAAAAAAGAATCATCGAAATGGGTTCACCCAGAAAAAAGTTATGAGGTAACACACATAAAAAAACATACATTCGAATTGAATACCTCCATCTTTTTGACATTGGTAGAAAAACTCATTGTTTGTAAAAATAACTTTGAGTCCTTTATCTTGTAATCTGCTTCTTTAATGGATCATTGTACCTAGAGACTGCTTTGCCTCTCCCATAGATTGCCTCATAAATGGAATTTTGCTATAGATGCCACACTTAACTTAGACGGGTTGACAATAGCAATGATTTTATTATTTTTAATTGTTATCAGAGAGATGCTGCTGCCTATCTCCTATTTCAGTTTTCCTCTGTCGCCTCTTACAACACACACTAGATGATATGTGGTAATGGATATTTTTACTCCAGCATTGCAGAATATATTATTTTGATCTGTAGCTTTTGCAGCGATTTCTTTTATTTTCTGCAATTTCTACGTTAGAGCTAAAAAACTAACTTAAGTCGCTGATTGCTATACTACTAATCTATTAAGTAATTGCACATAAAGTGGATGAAAATATTTTAGCAAATATTACAAAAATTTATAGAAAAAATATAAAAATGAAAATCATGTTGAGTTAAGCACGTTTTCAACATATAGATGGTGTTTCATATCCTTGCGTATGTCGTATGCTGCCTACGTGTATAATAAGTACACGGTATTGCGTATTCGGGACCAATAATTTCAGCGTTCGGAAGGTCGAGATACCGAGAGAGATTGGCTCTTTACAGAAATTTTCGAGATTTCGAGGCGCACAGAAAATTCCAATAATCAGCTTTACTTAAGGAATTGGATTTGAAATTCGATTGTATCCGGAGTGATTTTAATAATTCATCACCTTTGTACAATTTCACGAAATAAAAATAGCTGAAAAATGTGTTTCCAGAGAATATAATGGTATTTAGTTTTTAAATCTTAGACAGGCCCCATCGATTTGTAAAATATAAAAAATCTGTGTACAGTGATATTAATAGTTTTTGATATATAACAAAAAAAAATTGATATTTAAGATATAAAACAGTGGTAGAGCCACGCGGCAGCTTTTGCTGTCGCACGGATTGGCCGGCTCGAAACGGGGTGGTACCACGACCTCACAGAATACCAGCGTGAAGTAGAGGTTTACCTCTGCGTTTCGCTTGGTGAGTGCAGGTGGCCGGAGGCCCTTTTTACTGGAAATGAGGCATTCCATCTTAGTCCTCACTGGTGGCAACGCATCTGCATTTTGATTCGCAAACGAGGATAGATGTAGATTTCTATGGGCCCAGCAACCACTTACCATCAGGTGGACTGTGTGCTCGTTTGTCACCCTTATCCTATAAAAAAAATATATAAGAAATGAGATACTCATCACATTTTTATCATTCCAGGTCCACTGCTGAACATAATCTACCTCCCACAAATACTACAAGCATGGTCGGAGCCAATTGCATTGATTTCCAACACTGCTAATCAGCAAAATCGTTTCAAAATATTAGTATAACACATTTCATACACAGACAGCAGGATCAATTCTCTAACTTCAAAGTGTTATATATAAGTACATTTAAACAGAAAATACGCTCATAATGCTCAAACCAGGAAGAGACGAGAAACCAAGAGAAATTGCGGCGGTACTTCACGCCGGGGCAGCTTTTTACCTTATATAAAGCGCAAGTCCAGTCGTGCATGCAGTACTGCTGTAACATATGGGCTGGTGCTGCAAAATGCTACCTGGCAGCATTGGACTCAGTGAAGAGACGTACTAAGAGGTTCATTGGTGACCTTGATTTAGTTGAAACTAATCTTGTCAGCCTCGAGCACAGACGCAGAGTAGCCAGTCTCTCGGTATTTAATTACACGCTTAAATTCCTCCCTCTCCTTTCCACCATCGGACAACCAGACGGTCGGCGGGTCTTCACCCCTTTGCTGTCGATATTCCACGCATTAGAACCAAACGGTTTGCTTCGTCTTTTCTAATGCGTACAGCAAAGGAGTGGAATAATTTGCCGGCGTCTATGTTTCCGTCCGAATACAATCTGGGCGTCTTCAAGGCATTAGTGAATATGCTTTTGTTACGATAAGACGGTGTGACTTACCATCTAAGGCTGCATCACCACTTACCACCAGGTGGGATTGTGATCAAGCACTGGCTTATGATAAGTAAAAAAAATGACTTTGCATTGGCGAATGATCTGACATAACTAGTTACTTTGTTACACACGGCACGTGGATTGCAAAAATTTCTTCATCAGATTTTTTTATGTAAATCCATTTAGTTTATATAGAAATTAAATTAAAAGGACATATTATAGGGCAAAAACAAACTGATCGATAGTTATCAACAATTGTTTTTTAAGTATTGTCTTTTCCAAAATGAGATTAATCTATTTTTACCCCGTATAACTCCCGCAAAAAACAATAATGTTTTTTGTTAGTCCATTTATTTTTCTACTGTAAAAGAACATGCTATGTACAACGTACAAGTGTTAATAAGTTTTTATTTAATTCATCAAAACCAAAGTACATATCTAATTTAGATATTTATTATTTCATCTGTTTAAACACATAGGTACGACAGTACATTTTTTATTTTCCATTGATCTAAATACTAAAATGTCAGTTTTATTTCGTAAAATATTGCATTTTAATACCTACATTTTTTACACAGAAGTTCATTCATATAATATTAAGCTTTATATTAAGTTGTATTACATATCCTTGTTGTAATATACAACTACGCTGTTACAATAATGTAAGAGAAATAAATGGCACGCTAACAGTATGATTGCCCCTAGGGGAAATTTCACAGGAGGAAAAAATGAATAACTGCCAAACTTTGCATAGTATTTTTATATACTATAATGTCAACATATCCAAATTATGACAACATATTCAAATTATGACATGTAAACAATTCTATAAAAGCTACATAATACACCAATAATTCATCATCATTCAACAGCCTTTCACGATTCCACTGCTGAACATAAGCCTCCCCCACATAATGCCACACAAATCACGGTCCTGAGCCATCAGAATCCATCATCTTCCTGTATGTAATCCTGCAATTTGCTTACAGGTAGGAAGGCTACATCGGTAGTCCGTTCTTCGAGATATATGGCCTGCCTATTGCCACTTCAGCTTATCAATTTCGTTAGGCTTAGTTCTTTAATATGGCCTTACTGAGGATATCGTCATTACGAAGTCTGACTCGCAAGGAAACTTCGAGCATAGTCTTCTTCATAGCTCGCTAAGGAGCTCCTTTATGCGGCCAGCACTGTAGGACCTCCTCATAAACTTAACACTTAATTAAAAATTTACGTATACTTAATAAAAATACAATTTCCACTTTTTAAATCAAATTTTATTAAATTATCTAAATAAATAAAAACTTACTTCCACATAGCCACAATATTAATGCGATAAGTTGTGACGCCATGCTGTGTGAATATCGGGACAGCCGGCGCCCACACGTCATGTCACAAGCGCTTTATATCGGCTGCCACGCGCCTTTCCTATATCTTCCTTCATTTTTCTTCTTCAAGTAAAAGGTTATTTGCCTGCCGTAGAAAAAAAGGAGTCATGTAATTATTGATTTTCATTTCTATCTCAACACACAAAAAATCTACAAATTACAGTAAAATAAAATGTTTAAATTATAATTACATATACCAATTTAACATTCAGATTCTAATTTCGGAGATTGTGCACAGGAATTACATAACTTAATTCCTTTCTCTTCGTTCCACAATCGGACCACCACACGCTCGGATGGTCTCCGCTCCTTTGTTGTCGACATACCACGCATTTGAACAAAACGGTTTGCTACGTCTTTCATAATGCGTCCAGCATAAGATTGAAATAATTTGCTAGTAATTGTCTTTCCATCCGATTGCCATGTGGATCAAGGCAAAACTTATTATGCATTTGTTAAACTAAGTCAGTGCGTTTTACAATCTTCGGCTTCATCACCACTTACCAAAGGTGGGATAGTAGTTAAGCACTGGTTTATAAAAGTCGAAAAGAATTCTATGAGTAAATGTAAGTCCCATTTTTTAATAGGATTAATTTTAATTTTAATTTTGTACTCTTATTACACAGGTATGATTTAATTCAATAAATTATTAGATTCTGCAATCAGTTTTGGGGTAGTCATTGTAATACTGCTTTGTTTATAATTTATAAAGTAATCCCGCAAAAGGTCTATAAGGTCTCTAATTCCTTCCTCCAGTTTATGCTCATTTCTTTTTTGTATTTTTATAAATAAATATTTTGTTACATCAGAAAATAGGCAATTATAAACTTAAGCGCATGTACTGCTATTTATAACATTTAAGGTATAAATACTTTTATCACATAACAGAACAAAACTGAAAACTTATGCTACCCAAGAAAACACTCATGGCTTTTATTAATTTACTTTAATTTACCAATTAGCATTATAGAACGGTATACGAGTAAATATAGTTTACGAATTTTTAAAATATGACCGTAATAAACGAGGAAATAGAAATTATTATTTTAATGCACCTAATATTTCCAACGTCCATGTGACTTAATCTCTGTAATGGTCAAAATACCTAGATACGACGTCGCGGGCCCAATTTACAGCCAAGGCTATTATGCATAAATACAAGTTGTTGCGTTTGGGTCTGTTTGAATTATGTTTGTCCCCGTTTCTCTGAAACTTTGTTTTAATGTACCTGCGATAATACTCATAAACGTTACATCGGAAGTTTAGTTTACGATAAGTATGTGGTAGAATGGGATTTAGGTTTTCCATTCTCGTACTGATATAATCCTATATATGAATCGGCAGAATCTTGAGCATTGCACGCAGGTGAAATTGGCATTTAGAGAAGTTGCTGCAAGTTTGAGAAAACTCGCTGTGACTATCTTGAATGAACCTGAATCCCTAATACTAGTGATGGGCAGCAGCTTAACCAGAGCCAAGGTATCTGCATTACGCTCAGCAATCATTTTGGGCAGCACGATGAGAATAGGCAAATCTTTGAAAAGGGCTAAGTCTGGTAGTGGATTTAAAGTGTTGATAAGGTAAGACCCTCCTCCATAACCTTGACTATTTAAAAGTTGTCACCTTGGTCATAATTAATCAGCTAATACGTATACTTATTTTGGTGTTAGCATCCTGTCCTAATCTATTCATCATAAAATATATACCCAGTGATATATCAAATATGTTGTAAATATTTTAGGAGATTATACTCCGTGTGCGGCCGAGTTGAGTATGTCATAATCACTTAGACAAGATAAATATGTAGGAATTGAGCGAGAACTGTGTATTGTATCAACAGACTTTCACTTCGTAAACGCTGTACATGACGGATAGGTTGGTGCCAAATCATGATAAATATATTCGTCACCTGCGAGAAAAAAACGTTTAGGATGTACTGACTGGCGATGGCTTACTCCGTGCGGTATGTAATAGTTTGTGGGCCATTAGTATTCATAAATAAATATACGTATATAGATACTTTCCTATCTTTCACTTTACACCAGGTAGGATTGTTGTCAAACACTGTAGTGCATAATTAGTAAAATATGAACCGGACAAATTCGAGAAAGTTTCGTGCTCTGAGGGTTCGGTATAAACTTAATTATGTACATATGTAAACAGTTCATCTATTAAGGTAAAGATTTAGATTCAATCAATGTACAATGTAGATCACTTTACTTTTTTAATTAAAAATATGTATACATTCTACTTTTCACTTTCAACCAGGTTTGTAGTCAGGTACAAGCTTACAATAGGTAAAATAAAAACCTGACAAGTGCGAGTAGGACTCGCACCCAGAGGGTTTCGTATAAACTAATTAAGTGTGTAAACAGCTCAACCATCCCGGGAAATATAGGTAAGGTAAGTACGCACAGAACATTGCTCTAACGAAAAGGTAATAATTTCAGATTGAAAAACAAACTTAACTTTGCAATGGATAAAATATTTGTGAATAAAATCTGCGTCACAGTCGATGCTATAATTGCAATTTATAAGTTTGTAATCACAAACAAACATTATAATGTCATAACCACATATTATAGATTTTTTCCTTTACTGGTGCTATGATACTCGTACCTTTTATTGTGTCGAATTGCAAGGTTAGCGAGAAGTACCTTAAACGTTTTGATGAGTGAGTTTGCAAGTATTAGGTCCTTACAATCATATGAAATTCGCGTTTGTATTTATTTGTTTGTTGAAATTGCGTTGTACGGGAGGAATATAAAGTCAATTTTATTTTTTGTAAAATTATTTAATTAATCAAAGTATGCACCGTTGTTATCTATGCACATTTGCCATCTCATAAGTAGTTCATTGATCCCTTTACTAAAAAAAACCATGGGGGCGAGAATCAATAAACTCTTTGAAGGCGTTTTGGACTGCCGTATCGGAGTTCAATTTTTTCCTTGTAAGAAGTTATCCGAATTCCGGAAAAATGGTAATCTGTTGGAGCAAGGTCCGGGGAGTACGGTGGATTTATTTTATCTAACTTAGTGGTTGTTTGTTGTGCAGTGAGGGGTCTTGCGTTTTCGTAGAGCGATTGACCAATCTCGGTTCTTTAGCAACTAGTTCTTCCTTCATGGTTTGCAGTTGCTGATAATAGATATCTGTCGTAATCGTTTGGCCAGATTTTAGAAAGCTGTAGTGAACGACACCGGCGCTAGTCCACCAAACACTCACAACTAACTTTTTCTGAGTCAAATTTCGTTTAGGGCAGAATTTGGCTGGGTCTCCAGGGTCAGCATTGCGACGAGCGCTTCCGATTTACGTACAGTATCCACTTTTCATCACAATTAATGATTCGATTTAAAATTCCTTCATTATTGTTTCGGTTGAGCAAAGTAACATAGCAGTCGACGCGTGTTTGCAAGTTCGATTCACTCAAATCATGAGGAAAAAGGAGAAAGGAGAAATCATACCCATCGTTCAAGTTTTTTTGCTTTCTCGATTTACTTCAAGTGAATTAATATAGTTTTATCACTTACCCCGAAGCCTGCAGCTATCTCTGAAGTGCTTTGTGATGGATCCGCTGCTACGATAGCCTTTAATTCTTCATTTTCCACTTTGGTATCCGAAAGTCCACGGGGTTGGTTCTAAAGGTCGAAATTTCCAGAACGAAAACGTTGAATCCAAAAACGTACCATGCTTTCTTTTGCGACACCAGCGCCGTACACATAATTAATCCTTCGGGCTGTTTCTGCAGCACTGGCGCCGCGGTAGAACTCGTATTCGTAAATATACCGATATTTCATGTTTTCCATTGTGCGGTAATAAGCGACGCCAAAGAAAAAAAAATTATGTGAAAAAAACAAAAGAATGACTGTTTTCAAAACTCAAATGTACCAGATAAATGAAGTTAGAAGTTGAATTTGGAATTCTTAACCAAAGAGGAGATATTTCAGATCAAAGTGGTCAGTACGACAAAACGCTAATTTCATATGTAAGGACCTAATATTAAAAATTTTAATGACATATATGGACGTATCTTTTGACTGCGTTCAATTAGAAGTTTAAATTTTTTACACCATCAAAGTACCAAGATCTTAGTATTTGATATTAATTGCAAATGTTTCCCGTTCTTAAGAAGAGAGATCTTGACAGACGGACAGATATATGGCCGTACAACAAAGTAACCTGTATGTTTTCCTTTTGATCTCATCTACCATATTCCGCAGACGTAACACGTAGAAATTAAAGACAAGAGATTTGAAAGCAAACAAATCTCATTTCCTGCAAATAACTTCGAAATTTGCGAGATTTCTAAAGGAGAGTTAGAGTATTTTCCAAGTGACCTATAGGTATGGAAAAGTGTAGTCAGATGAATATGATATTTGACTGAATAAGTACAAAAATATAAAACAAAATATGAACAAATGAGGGTAGAATTGATGCTAGATCGAGAAACCACCACTCGTCCTAGCAGTATTAAGTATCGCTCAGGCGACTAAGAGGGTTCAGTTGGTAATTCCACGAGTCTCACTTGCGTTATTATGTCCGTCGGGGTAATTCTTCTAGTGTAGACTAGGAAGATCGGATTGCTAAGAGGCTGTCCTGTGTTACATTGAGATGGGTAGTGTTGCTGTTAGTTTGCGTACTTTGCTGTTATCATGTAATTATGTCCTCCACGTTGCACCAGTGTGTGATTGTGACGGGGACATATAACGGTTTGTCGAACTGTAGGTATTGCTCTATACTGAATTTATAGTGCAGTAGGTTGTTTTATTGCTGATAATGATTAATTGCGTAAGCAAGAGAGAAAGTTGAATATCCGCTCTCACACCTTGTTCTCACACCATGTTACCAAGTAATATTTTTTTATGTAAATAAGTTTTAGAATAAATTCTAATAATATTTATTTAATGTTCGTCGCCATAAATGTCGTCGGGGTAGTCTCGCAGTACATGACATAAAAATCCGACAATGATCATGCCTGCATGCCAATCGCAGCTTACCTTTACGGT